GAGAGAGAGAGAGAGAGAGAGAGAGAGAGAGAGAGAGAGAGAGAGAGAGAGAGAGAAGAAGAGATCTGGCTTGCCCACCTGTGCTATGAATAAGGTAAATATTTGTTGAATGAAATTTGGGCGTTTGCGTGAGTCACGGTGCATCCGCTCTCCAGCCTGCAGCATCTCACAGCATCCAAGGTTCCTAGTGGATTTCAGCCCTCGGTTACTGGCTCAGGCTCGGTTTCCCAATCCTGCCATTATTTCACACTGCCCCCACCCATCCATCCCTATGATCGCAAATTACAACTAGATGTATGTCTTTTTTAAAAATCCTTTTTATTAATAACGAGGCATACGTCTTTCAAAACAAAACGGAATGAAATATATTCCCCCATCCCTGCACGGTGAAAAATAATGAAGCCAATCTGTTCCACGGGTCCTGTTGCCTCTTTTTTCAAGATACTAACGGTCTTGTTCCTAGGCAGGTAGCGAGCCTTTAAGAGGCAGGGATGGGGGTCTCTGGGGCCTGCACCTGGGGGCTGCTCTTCCAGACCACCGAGACACTCCACAGGGCTGGGACACAGTCCTGGCAAGAGTCCTGATTCTGTCACTAATTTACTGCGTGACCTTAGGCAAATCATTTACCTTTTTTTTTTCTGGACCTCAGATTCCTCCTCCGTAAATAGAATGGTAGGGGAATGAATGATCTTTTAAGAGAACAATCAGTTCTGACATTCTGCGACTCCAGCCCGATTTCAATCTACTTCTTCCCTTTTGGATTAGAGGTAGGAGGATATTGGAAAGATGTACTGGGAGAAGGACGTGGGCTCCCCGCAGGAGGGGAACTTGTGCAGGAGAGAGAAAAATCCAGCTTGACTGGCCAGTCATCTTGCCCTACCAGGAATAATGAGACCCTGGGCAGAAGCAGCCGGTTGTTTTTCCTGAGGCGAAACGGTTCTGGGGGCAGTTGAGGGTGGGGGTTGGCCGTTAAGACTTTCAACCCTTCAGAGAAAGCAGAGGAAGAGGCTACGTAGATTCCCTCTTTGACTCCAGCGATAAACGCCTTTTCCCCCACCCCCAACACATTTGCGAACAAGAAGAGGTTCGGGAAAGAACCGGATTGTTTTTTCTAAGAAGTCTTATCTTTCTAAGGGCCTGGAAAGTTTACCAGGAGGAACTGGCCAGGACAATGGAGTGTAGTGGGAAGAGCACCTGGCCAAAACAAACAAACAAACAAACAAAAACTCGAGGTAAGGGCCATAACTTCTATACTAACTTGCCAGATGATCTTGGGTAAATTCCTTCAGTTCTCAGACCTTAGTTTACCCATTTGTAACTTAAAGACTCTTGACTAGATCATTTCCAAGGTCCCTTCAAGGTCCCTTGACATCTTGTGCTAAGATTCTATTCACCTTAGAGGTTGCAGGAATGTTGGTGGAGAGACTAGGGGTGGAGACAGAAAGGACTAGCAATAAAAGCTCTCCTCCAGAATAACGCCTAGCTTAATTCCCTCAGCCTCAATAAACTCAAGCCTTTAATAAAAGTTCTCATTTACATAGCATTGTCTTCACACTCATACTGTGGGGGTCGTGCTGTGTGTATGATCATTATTATTCCCATTTTATACTAAAGGGAATGGAGGCTCTGAGAAGTGAAATTATTTTCCCAAGGGCACACAGTAAATGGCGGAGCTGGACTAGAACTAAGGTCCTGTGAACCCAAGTCCAGAATTCTTTCCACTACACTTTACACATAGGGATTTGCATATAGTAAACGCTTAACGTTTGGTGAATCGAATCGGATTGTATTTTTGCAAGAATATGTATTCGGCTCGTAGGTTGAGTCCACTCCTTAATTCAGAAACTGTCGGCATTTCGGGTGGGGCATTGGCAGGGTATTATTATTTTTTTTTATAAAAGATTATTAGAAAAAATACACCGTTGGAAGCATGCATAATACTCCATATACCGCAGGCTCAAGTGAGACAGTGCAGCAGCTGGGAGAATCGCGCAGGGAGCAGAAAGGCCGGAACACACTAGCATCTTTGGGGAAATGACGGAAAGTGAAGCGCTTCTCTGCTCCAGTCTGAAATCCTGAGTCCAGGACATGTTCCCCTCCTCCGCCTTCCCATTACCCCCAGTCCTAGCTCCAGTGTCTGGAAACAGAACCCTAGGCTGTCCTGGCAGGAAGGCCTCACATGCTACATCCCAGGCCTCAGAGAGCTGTCTGGAGGTGCGGGAAAGTCCGATGTACAACGCACGGGGCTTTAGGGGCCCGGACTGAGCAAGGATCCTCATTCTTGGACAGGATAGTTAGCTAGCTGAGGAAGTCACTGTCAGCCCCAGAAGACAAGGACCTTTTTGATTTCGTGCTTTAATAGGGCAATTGGAAGAACCATGTTGTAAATCAAGACAACTGCTGCCTCCGGCTTCCAAGTCCGGGCTTCACTAGTTGTCAGCGGACTGGGATGAGCATAGCTCTGTGAACCCGAGCCTGCCTCTTCCCGACGTCAGGCCCTTGCCTGCTCTTCTCTTCCCCGAGAGGGGACCTGGGACTTCAAGGCCACTGTGTGGGTAGAGGGGAAGAAGGTAGGGAACCAGTAGGAAAGATCAGAGATCAGCCAAACTTGAGCAGCCTGAATGTAGGGCTAAGGGTGGACAGACACAGGGACAATACAGCAAGAGTGTTCACGTGGGAGGGCTTATGGGGACACACTGAATATGTCTGTGTTTGAGAGCTTATGTGTGCTTGGATTTGTGCCATGTGTTTTTCTGAGATTTTCTGTGTTGTGTTTATATGTTGAACATATGTGTGTAGCCTGTTTATATTTCTATGCACTTTTGTGTAGTGCATGGTGGTGTGTTTGTAGGTTTGTGTGTGGAAGCATGTTAGATTTTTGAATGTTCATATGTTATATGCACTATAAGTTGCTGTTTTTATAAATGTATCTGCCTGTACTATATGCATTTATTTCTGGACACTTGTGTGCATTTCTTCTGGTCTGTAGGTGTAAGCACGTTTGTGTGTTCCTTCCATTTGAGTAATTTGTGTGAGAGTTCACATAGGGCAGTATTTCGAGTTGTTGATGTGTATTTTCCTGTTGTATGATGATTGTTTGTTGTGTGTTGCATCCATGTATGAGTTGTCCTGTGTCTGGTGTGTTTGAGTTTTCCATGTGTTACGTTTCGATTTTGTTTTTAATGTTGAGTGTATGGAGTTGTGCGCCTATAGTTGCTCTAGGGCCCTGATTGTGTGTGCTCTTGTGTGTCCCCTTTACATTCCCGGGCTGCTGCTTGAGGGTGGAGCGGGTTGGTGGGTTTGGCTCTCTTGGGTTGAGCTAAGGGTCTGGGGAGTGGTATTTCTGAGGGGTCCCACAGATTGGGCACAGTATGTGGGCCGGAGGGCAGAACCCGCCTGGTGGCAGGCAGCAGGAGTGTTATTTCAGCCTCCAAGGGGGTTGCTGTTCCCATCCTGACCCTCCTGATTCCACCCCCAGTCTCTCTCGATCTATTTATTGCACTTGAAACAATTTTCAAAGCGTTTAAAAACAGTTCCCATAGGGCCAAGGAGCTAGCATAGGGGAGCATGGGATGGGAGTGTGCGTGGGGGGGGTGGGGGTGGGGGAAGCAAGCCCGGAAGCCTGGGGTGGAGGGGGGCGAAGAGGAGAGAGGGTGTCTCAGACCAAGCCCGGCATCTGCGAGGGCCGCAGGAAGGGAAGAGAGGCAGCTGCGGCAGTCGGGAAGGCGGCCAACGGATAACCAAGCGCTCCCGGGAAGCCCACGAGGGGCGGCGGGGGCGGCGCCGACGCGGGCGACAAGGGGAAGGCCAGGCCTCCTCCCGCGGCTGGTGAGTTCTCGTGGTAGAGGATGGGCACACGGACCAGCCTTTGAGCAGACGGGGACAGGCTCGCGGCCTCCAGGTCTGCAGCCAGCTGCCGCTTCCACTTATTCCTGCGGTTCTGGAACCAGATCTTCACCTGTGTCTCGGTGAGCTGCAGGGAGGCTGCCAGGCCGGCACGCTCGGCGCTGCTCAGGTAGCGCTTCACGTCGAACGTGGATTCCAGCTGGAATACCTGGCTGCGGCTGAACACAGTGCGCGTTTTCTTCTTGCGGCCGGCAGCCCGAGGTTCGGCAGAGTCCGGTTCAGGCCTGTCGTCCTCTCCGCGTGCGCTGCCGCCGCCACCACCACCGCTGCTGCTGCTGCAGGCCGACTCATCTGGATCGCGATCCAGGCGCTCCGAAGACCCAGGGGCGCCTGACCGCCGCCGGCAGCCGCTCTCGGGCCTGCCAGCCTCCTCGCCGACCTCTGGGGAGTCCCGGTCACTGGCTGAGGGGGCAAAGAGGGACAAGGTTTTTTTCTCCCAGCACTGAACCAACCTTATCCTAGTCATCTCTTGTATTCTGCTAGCCGTGCTCCTAGCGGGAAATTGGAGACACACAAGAATTCACGAAGACACACGCAGAAACCCTTTTTCACCCCCCCCCCCCATTCAAACACACGGGGACAATACACAAACGCCAGGGTTCTGATTTTCTTTGTCTCACGCTCTCTTTAACCCCTCCACATTCATGCATACTAAAAAAAAAAAAACCCTCTTTATTCATATTCAAACACAGAATAAAACCGTATCTACAGAAACGCACTCTCTTGAACATTCAAATGCATATCGACATATGTAAAACGGTCATACATGAACACATTTGAGGTCATGCATATTAAAATACTCATGTGCCATTGTTCAAAGAAGCTGTCTCTATCTTGCGAAAAATGGACGGTCAGTTACACAGTGACATAAAGAAATACCGCCCGTTTTCACAGAATTTCTCTCAAACATTTTAAATAACGTACATATACATGCACACAGACATACATACACAAATACATCATAATACGCTGGATTTATCCGTTCAAATAACACACTGGCATATAGAAAACCCTGGTACGTGGAATTTCCCTCTCACATGCCGAAGTGGGGGGAATCACTGGCTTGTAGGACCCACATTCACACAATACGCACCTGAACACCCCATTTTAAGCAAAAATATTCCCTTAATTACAATACGCTAAACAGAATGTTCAAGAGCTCTGAAATATACACACGGGTAGGAAGAAATACGCTCAGATACGCAGAAACACTTGCCCTCTAAGACATCGAAGTAAAAGCAAAACCATCAGGACTGAAGAAAATCCAAAAGCGCCCATAGGGTACTCCCCCAAACATCCCACCCTAGGCCTCCCCCCTCTCCACCTTCCCTTCTAGAGTTGGCGCTCCTTTATTACTACGGCTTTCCCAGTTTTAAATACTCCTCCCCCATTGATTTGTACATTAGACTTAGCATTAATTACTACTCTGGGAGAGTGTGGATAAATCAGCCCTCAGGGGTCTGAAAGAAATAGAAGAAACTCAGTGGGGGTCTCTGGGGAGAAAAGGTCCAGCTGGGGGAAGGTATGGTGTATACACAGTATATAGAGGGGTCAGAATAAGCGGCAGGAGGAGATTCTTTCTAGTAGGAAGAAAGGTCTCAGGTGAGTTCAGATTTTGACCAGTCCTGATTATGGCCAAGGCATTTCACTTTTCTCTGTGACTTCCTATCCTCAGTTTTGGAACTCGGATAACCTCATAACTGACCTCGCAGGGCTATTGTGTAAATCCTATGAACATTCGAATTACTATTCTGGGTCTTCCGAATAGGAGAGCTGGTGTCTCGAGTTCTTTGTCCCCTCATACGGTTAAAGGGCTCACACTAGATAGATGTTTGTAGCGGCTCAGCCAGGAAAGAGAAATGCTGCTGTAAGTCCATGAAAGAGGAAGGGGACTGTTAATGTAAGCTATGAAGCAGGCTGACCCTGCTTCCATACCATCGTGAATGGAAAGAATCTGGATTCTAAAGCTCAAGATACAAAGCTATAAACATCTCCCAGGAGACCTTCTTTCAGCTGGAAGGCTCCACCTTGCCCTGAGCTGGAGTGCAAGAGGTGGTGGGGAAGTGGTAGTTATTTTTCAATAGAAGAAAGCTTCCCAATTCAATTTGAGGAAATATTAGCATAAGATAAACAAGATAATAAAATCAAGATTTTGGAGTTTGAAGAAACCTGAAAGGGGCCAACTCCATAATATTACAAATTAGTAAACTGAGGCCTAGAGAGTGAAGGTGAATTGTTCAAGGTCACACAGAAAATAGGAGGCAGAGCTGGAGTGAACCCATGTCTTCTGACACAAAATCCAGTGCTTTTCCCCACTATATCAAACTGCACACTGAGGTGACTCTACTACAGCAGTTTTAAATATGCATTAAACACTCCATGAGCAAGTATCTCCTTTCCAAGACTTTATTCCTTTTGGAAGGGTCACTTGAGAAGAAAGGAATAATTCCTTTCCTCTGTTGAGAGTGGACTCTTCTGTGTCCTGTGTATATATGTAGAATATGCCTACAGGTGGAGAGTTTCACCAGGCTTCAAAAGAAATCACATCCAAGAGATATCTTCAATGAAGATTCGAATAATCAGTTGGGTGTGGTAGAAAAGGACACCAACTTGGGAGTCAGGATTCTAGCTGGGTTCGAGTCCAAAATGGACCAGGAACTAACCCTGAGTCACCTTGGCAAAGTCATTATCTCTATGTCTCAATTCCCACATTTGAAAATGAGGGAGAAATCCTCCAGGGTCTCAAAGGTCACTCCCAACTCTAAATTCTCAGATCTATTATCTAAGGATCCTTTCAGTTCAGATTCCCCATTTTCTTTGTTCTAAAGTTCCTTCCAGCCTTGACATTTCATGTTCTACTGTCCCTTCTTTCTTTGCCATACTGCATTCTATGTTTTAAGGTCTTTTCAGCCCCAGAAACCTATGGTTCTAAATATTAAGGTTGGATCCATAGGAAATAAGACCATTTCAAAAGAATAGAAGAGAACCACAGATTTCAAAATCCCTGGAAGAAAAAGGGGTCCATGTTTAAGGTAAATAGCAACGTTTTGTACCCTTCTAAGGGTAACAGCTTCTCTGCCCCGGCAAGGTTTTGCCCAGGTCTGAGGAAAAGCGTTCGGGTGCTAACACTGAACTGCGGGAAGACTCTCCTAGGCCAGATTCTCCTATTGCCTTTTCAGTAGCTTCCCAGGGAAGGGTATTAAAAACCCACTGGCTGCTGGGGAATCCCAGACAGCTCTCTTGAGAAGGAGCCAGGTGGAGTTTCAGGATGAAGACACCTATACTGGACACTGGCTCCCACTGGAAAGAACAAAGAGATGAATAGAAGGATTGAGGGAGAGGGTAGAGAAAGGTAGCCGAGAAGAGAGACGGAGTTCAAGATTGGGCCAGCCTCTGAGCACCAAATTACCTTTTCCCTTCTCTCCTTCAGATTGTCTAACCTTCAGACGATTAACTCCATCTAATTTCCACTCTCCTCGTCTTTCTCTTTCCTTCCTTTCCTTTAGCTCCCACTCTCTCTTATTCCCCCCGATCTTTCTGTTCCCTCTTTTTTTGCTTTGTTTTCTCTCTTCTCCTTTTCTTTTTCCCAGTCAGCATCTCCATGTCTTTTTTTGTCGTTTCTTTCCTTCCCCTGTCCTTCTCGCTTCCCTTTCTCTCCTTACTGTTTCTGCTCAGGGAGCTCAGCAAAGCAATGGATGGTCTCCGAGGCTCCGGTGGGACGTGTCCCAGCAATCAGGAAAGAAGCTGGAGCTGTCAGGAACCCAAAAGACCACTGAGTTTTCGGTCGGGTGTGGACCGGCCGGATCATTTGGAGTTCTACTTCCTGAGGATAACAGCAGACCGCACAACTTGGGCCTGAGAATCACTTTGTCCCTCCTTTTCCTTTTCCCCATATCCCAACCCCCAGCTTGCCCACTCCCCCAGCATTGTCGACTAAGAGGCCTCGGGAGTGATCTCTGCGCAGGAAATAGCCGCCAACCCTAAGCCGCCCCCAAACCCTGCCGTTGGAGACCTAGGACTTACTGTCTGGACTGTGACAACTGATGTAGCTGGCATGGGTGCGTCGGTACCACTGAGCCGGGCTCTCGGCAATCGCGTAGCCATGAGCACCGAAGCCATACGCCGGGCCGGGGCAGCAGGCAGGGGGTGGTGGCAGGAGGCAGGGACCGGGTCGGGCTCCGGCTCCGGCTCTAGCTCCCAGTACGCAACGCTCACGACCCTCCCGGGTCTCGGCGCCCGCCCGCAGCTGCCTCAGTCGCCTCCGTGCCTCTTCCTGGTCTTCCTCCCCTTCCTCTTCCTCTTCTTCTTCCTCGTCTTCGTCCTCGTCCTCGTCCTCCCCTCGGCTCGTCTCCTTGCCCTCTCCCCCTAGCAAGTTCTCGATGAAAAAGGACGAGACGCGGGCCGGCGTGGCGCTACCGGGCTCCGTCACCTCGTCCGGCATGATGTAGGCGGGCCGGGGTGGCGAGGGCTGCTGCTAACTCCTCGCTCTCTCGCTCCCTCTCTCTTGGCGCCTGCCAGTGGCCGGAGGGAGGGGGGGAGGGGAAGTGGGAGAAGAGAGAGGGCGGCCGGAGCGAGCCCTTCAGAGACCTGGAAGGCAGGAGGGCCCAGCAGCTCCAGCCACCTCGTGGCTCTTCGGGGGCCGAGGTCTGCGCTTTGAGAGCCGATTTCCCTCTTGAGCGCTCATTGCAGCTCTCGGCTCTTGGCCATCATTTCCTGCAACTGGCGGAGATGGATGGGGGTGGGAGGCCGCAGGGACTGGGGACTGGGGGGGGGGAGAGATGGAAGGAGGGAGGAGGGGGATCGGGAGATAGGGTGGGGGGAAGGGGGGGCGGTGGCGCAAGAGGGTAAGAAACCGCGGAGGCCGTCGAAATCTGCGTACAAAACAATAATAATGTAATAGAAGTGTCAGGAGGCCCCCTACACCCCGGGAGTCGTCGATTGGCCGGGCAAGATGTCAAATGGCAATAGCGGGGCGCCGGGCCAGAGCGGATAGCGGCTTGGCGACACGGTCAGTATAGGCAAGGGGGCCCAAGAGGGTGCGCACAACCGCTGCCACTGCCGGGACCTCTGGGCCGCCTCGTCACTCGCCAGCTTTTTATTTGGGTCAATTAGAAAGCGAGTCCAAAGGCGGAAAAGGCGGCAGCGCACCAGCACCCATTCCATTCCAATTTATTCCATTCCCGGGCTCCGGGTAGCCAAGGAGAGGGAAGAGAGAAGGGATAAGCTTGCGTGTGCTGGAGAGGAAGGACTGAGGGGTTGCTGGACGCTCATTGGCTGAGGGGGACCCGAGGGATGCCCTGGCTGGCCAATCGCCTCCCGATAAGACCACTAATTACGGTACTATTCTTGCTTCTACAGACCGGCACTAATAATAATATTGCAAGAACGTTGTTCAGGAAAAGAGAATATTTAATGCAAGCTCACGTTTCCAGAGGCCTTTACATACATTATCTCATTATCGCCTTATCTCAGCAAGGATGTGGATCCGCGAGCGGGGATATCTCAAGCAGATTTGAAGAGCAAGAGCTGTCTGAGTCAAGCCAGTGACCTGGGCCGAGTAGGGTAGGGGTGGGGGTTCGTAGGCACCATTTATTCATTGCATTGACTGAAAATCATAGAATCTTATACAGAACCTTAAATAGCACCTAGTCCAACCCCCTCGAAATTATCTGACACAGATCCCAGATATACACACGTTATCATATACATATGTCATTTACCGTATGTGTGTGTTATATATATAATATAGTGTATGTATGTATATATTGTCTATGTATGTGTCTCTGTCTCTGTCTCTCTCTTCCTGTAAAATGCTTAGTTACCTTATTTGGCAGCAGGATGCAGTGGAAAGAGTATTGACTGGGGTGTCAGAATACGGATTCTGGTTCCAAATTCTCTTGTATGATCGCGGGCAAGTCGTTTTACCTCTACAGGCCTGTTTCTTCACCTTTGAAACGATGGAGATTACCTGGATGACCACTAATCCCCTTTCCATCTCTGACGTTACATTATCCCTACCATACTCACAGTGGTAAAAAAAAAAAAAAAAAAAAAAAAAGGATACTATTGAATTAATCAGGTAAATGTTTATACACTGGGGTCTATTCCTAGATATCTAAGCAACTGGTCGGTTTTTGTTGCTACTATGCTTAATGCACTTCAACATCAGATTTGGAAGGGACATTGGAACCTAGAATGCTCGAGATGAAACAGGCTTTAGCGATGCAACCCGCTCTTCATAAGCATTTCACGTCTTAGACCTGTGATGATTTTTTGTTAACCAATAAATATTTACTGATGAAAAGAAGGAAAAAGAGGAGGGAAGGGGGAAGGGAAGGGGAAAGAAGGAGGAAGAGAAAGAGAATTGGGAAGAAGGGAAAGAGGAAGAGAAGATGTGGACCCTCTAATGGTGGTCTCACAGGCTGGGAGAGTAAACTATACATACGCAGAGGAAACAAGGCTCCCTACAAGCCTGCATTTTTGGCTAACAGTATCCGCACCTGTTGTAATACTGGTGATGGTGGTTTTTCGTGTTTTTTGTTTGTTTTGTTTGGTTTTTTGTTTGTTTTAACAGATTAAGGCAACCTATACACGTACTGAGATTATAGCAATAATGTGTCCTCCAAAGGACTTCCTTTTAATCCTTTGCCACTGCTCTCAGACTCAGTCAGTCCACCATTCAGAAAACATAGGATTTTGAAGAGATTCAATTTAATAATTGACTATTAAGGCGCCACAAGCAAGGTCCTGCACCGTAAGCTCTCTGTGGACCTTTCCTGATGTAAAAAGAAAATAGGGTTCCATTGCCCATGGATACCGTGCAGATTCTGGAGCAGTATGTGTGTATCTGATGGTTAGGGCGGGCAGTTGCTCTAGGGAGTGGGTGGGCGTGGGATACTAAATGAACCCTTAAATCCCTTCCAAGCGTGAGGATTCGATGATATTGTGACCCAAGAAGGTATTCTCTAATTCTTACTCTCTAACTGCGGTTCTCACATCGTCCTCGCTTACTCTGGCTCCTTTCTTTCTCGCTGTTCCCCCCAACCCCCACAACACCACCTTCTCCGCCTTTGAACCTCTGCCTTCATCCCTTTAGCCATAGTCCTCTGTGGTAACTCTTACAGGAGGTTAGCGGATCCTTAGCCTTGCGGAAGAGAAGCGAAGTGCCCTACGCAAAAAGCGTACGCACCCCTTGAGTCCTGGTGAATTAGTCACTTGGCGGAACCGTCACTGGGGAATCTGGCCCGAGACGCATCTGGAGGTACCCAAGGGACCAGAAACAGGACGGGGGACGAACGGAGGAAGGCCCTAGCTCTCTCTGCCAGAGAGAACCCTGAGGAGCATGGGGGGAGGTGGGGTAAGGAATCATAGCACTCCTGTTCCTCTCCTGGCAGCGCTCGCCCTGGGACTCAGAGCCTGTGTCGCGCTGGACCCCGAGCGGCAGCAAGAAAACAAGTCGCTCCCAGAGCCAGAGATGGCTCAGTCTTGCTTACTGAAGCTCAGCAGCAGGGTCCTTGTCCAGCCCAGATTCCAAAGGCCTGCCATTCCTTTCGTTTGACTAATTCAGTTGTGGAGAATGCGTTCCAGCTTCTGATCTGGCCGTCGCAGCGCAGAATGCGCTAGGCGCGGAGTTAGGTGGGCCAGGAGGGTGGTCTTGGCTGCATCTGACACCAGAACATAACCTCAGGGCTCCTTGAGCATCTGCAGGAAGGAAGGGACCGAGGATGCCCCAATGTCGACTCTATCTGCCACGTTTGGATTCCTTAGGGTTTCCAAGTCAGAAAAGGACTCCAAGCATTCACTTCAGGTAAGCATGAGGCAGGTCATACCCACATGGTCACGGGAGATTTTCGTGGCTTTTTGGCTTGTTTTATTTTGTCGTCCAGAGGAGCCAACAACTTTCGTTTAGGAAAATAGTGGCATAATCAGTTCACAGCACTTGAACAAAAAAAGGCATACCTTATTGTTAATCATCATTTGCCTCATTTCTAAGGTATATAGAAAGATAAGATCTGACAGGGGATTTGGAACATAGAATGTTAGCTATAAAAGGGATTTGAAACATAAAATAGTAAAGTTTGAAGGGACATTAGGCGTTGATCCAACTCCTTCATTCTTCAGTAGAGGAATGAGTCCCTGAGAGACAGGAAATGACTTTCCTTAGTGCACTTAGCTAATTTCCTTGCTACGGAGCTAGGACAAGAACCAAAGATTCTTGAATTCCAGGAGTGTTTTTGGATTTGTTTTTGTCCTCCCCCTTCCTACTACAGGTGGAAAATGAGAGTTGGGCCCTTTTCATTGGAATGTTTTAACCCTTTTTTTGCCACACTTCCCGAATCTAGCTCCCAGGTTACAGAACTCCATTTTTCCAAATATTTCGTGATACATAATGAGTATGGATGGTGACAATTAAAAAAAAAAGGAAAGAAAAAGGACACAGGCATTCTAACCCATAGCACCACTCTCCGCTTCCTCCCACCCCCATCTGAACTGTGACCTTATAACTTCTGATAAAGGAGAAAGAATGATGGGTTTGGAGTCAGGAGATGTGCTGTTTTATTCTCAGCTCTGTTTCTTTCTTAAAGGCCTCAGTTTCTTCCTCTGTAAAATGAAAGGATAGGATTAGATGATCTCTAAGGTCACTTTCAGTTTAAATCTATGATCCTAGTTTGTTACATGCATACACACACATACATACATATATACATACATATATTTGGGAGCTGATCTTATCTCACTTACTTGATTGTGAGCCCCACAAGGAATGAACCGAGTCTGAGTTTGATTCACCTTTGCTTCTTGACGTGGGGCAGTAGGCATTGATAAAAGTCTTTTTTGAAATGAATAGCAGTATCACATCATAGCTTCCCAGAACTGAAAAGGACCTTGAGACAAAAAATACAGACTATTAGATGAGGAAGTGATCTTTGAACAGAGGTTGTAATAAGCCGATAGAGCCACAGAACATAAAATGATACAACTAGAAGTGATCTTAGAACACAGAACACAGAATGTCAAGCTGGATGAGATCTCGGAGGCAGTCCAGGTAAAAAGCTTGAAAAGCTTAGGCCTATTGAGGAGCACAGTGGTTCCTGGCAGAGAAATGACTACTAGCCTGATTTCTTGATTGCAATCTCCCAAGGTAAATGCATTTGCTCAAAGTGTATTTCTTTCTTGTTTGTTTGGTTTTTTGTGAGGCAATCAGGGTTAAGTGACTTGCCCAGGGTCATACAGTAGTAAGTGCCAAGTGTCTGAGGTTGGATTTGAGCTCGGGTCATCCTCACTCCAAGGCTGGAGCTCTATCCACTCTGCCACCTAGCTGCCCCTCAAAGTGTATTTCTTGAACCCTGAACCATCCCCAGAAGTCTTTATGTTCATCCTTTTCAGAAACATTTAGTCTTGCAGTCAGTGGGATCCTCCAGGGTTACAAGTTCTCTCCCT